ACATATTCAAATAGTGTTTGGAAAAAGCCAACCAAGCCAAATTGTAAATCTCCTTCTGCATATTGGCATTTAATTGACTTGAGTTTGTATGGGCTTACACTAATCTTGGTTTTTAATAGAGTGATTTAACTATTTATTTAGAACAAAAAATATACTTAGCCTCAATATTTTGGCTAGAAATTTGTCTCCCACATAGAACGCCTTCCCTTTGGCAGGTTCTGGCAAAGACATGTGGATTCCAGGGCAGATGTCAAGTAAGTAGCCAAAGGGATATTCTCAGATCTTGAGCCTGATTACCAAAATCTAAAAAAACTGCCAAGAAAGAGTTTCCTTTGGATTTGAAAATGAGTACTATACTGTAAAATTAAGAATTGTACAGACTGTCACTCTTTAATTACTCTAAAATGTTACTTTCAGGAACTATGGTGGGAAACTGAATAAAACAAAAAGACAAATCTTCCTTGGGTCCTCATCCACTTATGAATTCTTTCCTAGCCAAAGGCAATTGACGCTTTGAGCCCTAGTCATGAACAAATTCTGAAGTATGACCTACACTGACTGTTTCTTATAATGGATACAAAGACCCAGAAACAAGTGAAATGGGAAGACAGCTATAGATAACTTAGGAATATAAGTTATAGATAACTTAGAGTGGGCAGTAATGATGAGTATATGGCATCTTCATCAGGCTCATGGGTTGGAATTTTGATAGGAAAATCAATCAAGAGTCAATCAAAGCAGGTGTTGGGGCAAAAGAGGCCATATGTGCTAAATAATAATTTTCTTTTAAAAAAAAAAAAGATCTAGATGACCTCTGAACTCCCTCTCCAATCTGCATTCAAATTTTTGAGTAACCCCAACGTTCTGCTGTCACAGACTCTGTAAGCTGCCTGCAGTCTGGGAGCTTTAGGATTTATGATTCTCTTTGGGAATTACTTGTATCCTTTCATACCACCGAGGTGCCCTTTATAAAATGAATTCGCTGTGAAGTTTAATGCTCTGCCAAAAGATGAGCAATTTATTTCCTTCAGTGTGTTATGTCTCATGATGTCATTTCAGATGTTTGGGGTTTAAAGTTGGTTCATCCTTGAATCTTGACCCCAATTCTCTAAGTGTGTTGTAAATGTGATTATGGAGCAGCTTACCTACCAGGAGAACCCTAACACACTTTTATTTATTTTTTTTTAATTAGTAGGATTCAAATAATTAATAAAAATGTTTCACTACATGATTTTTATTGAATAAAGGTAAGAGATTACATTTTTCATTTCATCATTAAACATATTGGTTAACAGCTTTTTTAACTGAAGTAGATAATCACTTCCTAGAAACTCTGAAATAAAAAATTGAAAGGGAAGAAACTTTTTTTTACGTATGCTTTACCTGAATGAGTATATATATATATATTTTTAAAGAACTGGGGTACAGGCCAGAGATGCAGAGGGTGAGAGGATTCACCAGAGACAGAGTGGGGAGCAGAACAGGCAGATCGAGGAAGTACACTGCTGAGGGGAGCAGCGGGCGGGTCAGGAGAGGTCTGCCACACCATGTGGTCACCTCCGGGGCAGGCGGGGATCGAACTCATGCGGAAGTGGCTTTAGCTTCTCAATGCTGTGCTTTAACCCGCTGCGCCACCAGGGAGGGCCCGAATGAGTATATTTTTAACAGCCAAACTAACAGTGAAGGTTTTGTCATTTTTCTTGACTCTATACTCTTATCTCTCCAGCTCTGCCAACCCCATTTCCACCAGAGTCTACTGAGCGGCCTTCTCTCACCCAGCCTACTCAAGTGCCTCCCACCTGCTCTTCCACAGGCAGTACTGAGCTGCTTGGTCCATTCTCCACACCATGACAAGCTGTAGCTTTACGAAATGGACATCTGATCACATCACCCCTCAGGCCAAAACCCTTCAAAGATGCACCATGGCGCTTCAAAGATCATACTACAGTCCTTCTGGTCTAGACCTTGCCACATGCTCTGTAGTGCTCCTGTTCTTTCTCTGTACTCAGGCTGTATAAGCTCTCCTGTAATTCCTGAATATATGCTATACTCACAGCAAATTATAAGCATCTGACATACCCTTTATCTCAAATAGTCTTTCTTCTGCTACTACTCCCAGCTTTTACCTTAATTCTTATGACCCTCTGGACTTCGGTGTAGACATGCCTCTGGCCATGTCCTCTCAATACATCAGGTATTTTGTATAAGGGGATGTACCTGATAAAAGTCCCTAAGATATAAGCTCTATGAGGTAGACAAAACTTTTTTTTTCTAGAAAGAAGAATATCATAAATAATAAAAAAAATAAACTTGCTGAAGGATTACTTGAGTTCACTGTGTATTCACTGAATTGCTTCCTTAAGTTGTTGAAATTCTACATGCTTCTTTTATAAGAATATACTTAAAAAAAAAAAAAAAGAATATACTTTTAACGACCACCAAGTCTCTCTTGGAAGGTTCAGAAATGACTCAACTGAAAGTCATTAAGTGACTTTCCATAGTCTTCTGAGAAGTTTTTGTACTAGCTGGGCCAGAAAGCAATTGTTAGTAGATAAATGCACTCTGCATCACTGTCTTTTAATTTAAATTTCCTTTTCTTAGGAGGTGTTTTTAATATCACTGAATGTGTAGAAATCTGTTCTGAATTTATATAATTTAAAAATCAGTCTTAAAAGTCAGTGATTTATGAAGAACACAGGGTTGATGGTGGTTTACAACATTTTTCCCTCTTGGCAAGAGACCAACCCTGGGAAAAATAAAATATCCCAATTCTCATTAATGGAAACAGAGCTGAACGGACAACTGTAGCTGCTGAATATTACTGAAACTGCCAGGAAATTCTAGAAGCAGAAACAAGGTTGGGCTGCCATGTTAATATCTCATAGACAATCCTAAACTATAAAAACATGGAATTTCTAATGCTAATGTCCACTTCTGTTAGTATTTACCCAGGTACTTTGCGTTACATATTACAGAAGCTATTAGAGGAATATTCACTTTCCAAAGCTAGACTTAGATGTGTACACACTTCACTACAGGTAACTACAAATTTTTCTTGGAACAGACCTCTGGGGAACATCTGTCTGGGCATCTCATCTGGTGAGAACCAAACCTACTTTTCACCCAAGTCAGATTTGTTCAACTTGAGTCAGCTCCTCTGTCCCCATACACCTACAAATGTTGGTCCAATAGTTTCAGGTATGCTAGAAGTGCTCAGAAAGATTCTAACCATCATCACCTCATCCCTTTTGGAGACTGGACCTCATAGTGCCTCTGAACTTTAAGAGCTTTACCAAATCAGGGGCTAGACAAGACCTTAAAGAATGCCATTCAATTTTCAAAAAGCAAGCAACACATACATTCTCTTAAGATTAAAAGCTAGGCCCTCCCTTGTGGTGCAATGAGTTAAAATGCAGCACTGCACACAAGCCACAGCCTCTTCAGTGCAAGTTTGATTCCTGGCCCTGGATCCACATGGCGCAGCAGACCTCTCTTGACTCCCCCACCTGCTCCCCTCAGCAGTGTACTTCGTTGATCTGTCTGTTCTGCTGCCCACTCTGTCTCTGGTTAATGCTCTTACCTCCCCTGTACCTCTCGCCTATACCCCAGTTAATAAGCAACAATAAATGTTGGCAAGGGTGTGGTGAAAAAGGAACTCTTCCTACACTGCTGGTGGGAATGCAAACTGGTGCAACCATTATGGAAAGCTGTATGGAGGTTTCTCAAACTGCTAAAAATGTAGCTTCCATATGATCCAGCAATTCCACTCCTAGGTATCTACTCAAAGGACACAAAAACAATAATTCAAAAAAATATGTGCATTCCTATGTTTACTGCTGCACTATTTACAATAGGGAAGATGTGGAATCAACTCAAATACTCAAAAATAGATGACTGGATCAAGAAGATGTAATATATATATATATATATACACACAATGGAAAATTACTCATCAATCAAAAAAGATAAACTCATGCCATTTGTACCCACATATATGGAACTGGAAAAGATCATGCTTAATGAAATAAGCCAAAGCCAGAAAGAAAAATACTAGATGGCTTCACTCATAGCAAGATTGTAAGGGATCGGGATCGGGGTATGGGGAAAATATATATGTGTGTGTGTGTGTGTGTGTGTGTCTATATATATATATATATTAATAAAGTAAAAAAGAACATCAACAATAACTACAAACCAGAGACATTCTATGGGGGAGGAGAGGGAAACAAGATCAAAACTGGAGTGGGAAAAGCACATGGGACTATGGTGATGGCACATGGATGAAGTGGTGGTGAGAAGTCCACAGGGATTACAACTGAGATGAAAAAATGTACAATATGAATAATAATTTAAAAAATGTATTTATAAAATGAAAAAAAAAGATTAAAAGTTAAATCATCCTAGAGTGCTATATATTGTGTGTTATGGCATCAGAAAGAAGGCAGCTCCTTGAATGAAGCTTGGTAATTGCGTAGTCATTAGCAAAAGTTGGCTGAATTGTTGAATGAACTGCCATACCTCATGCTGAGCCCATGAAAACTGGTGTGCATCTAAGCTAGAGTGTGGGTATTTATCTTGAAATCCAAGAAGCTGAGGTATCAATGTGAATTGCTCTGTACCTGCACAGAATCTAAAAATTGTTTTAGCCAAGAATGGTAAACTCACTTGAGAAGAGGTTCCGTGAAGAACACAGACAGCAAAAATGAGCAAAATAAACACTGTCTTCCCATGGGGCACCCCTCTGTCCCTATTCACAGAGGCTGCAATGCTCCTTTCTATTGCACCTATTGCCTGCCAGGTCCCGCTTGATGACCTGAGACCCTGAAAACAATCTGACTTTCTACCTTATCTTTCTAGTCAAGGCCTTTTTCCTGAGGACCCTGTGCCTGGAATTATGCTCAATACTTGTAAAAGACACATCTGTCCAAAAGCAAAGTTGTTTCTAAAATGAGAAAATAAAATGAGGAAAGTGGAAATTGTTCCGGTACCATATAGCTTACCTTGCAATGAGTTGAAGATGGCAAAGAAGTACAGGAAAGGGACATGTAAGGGTCCCCAGGCAAAGAAAGCGAACCCCCACGTCATGCCCAACAGGAACGTCAAGCTGACGACGCTGCGCAGGTTCCTCAGAACTTCTTCGCGCAGGGTCCGGTTGCTCCTCTTGCCGTTCCTCCCACAGATCTGCACCATGACCACAATGAACATGGCCACGTTCAGGAAAAACATGACTCCAAAATAACCAACACAGCTCACATAAAATACAATGCGATCCTTAATCCAACAGCTTAAAGGAGAAGAAAGAGAGGGGAGAGGACTTAGTCACGTTCATTTATTTTCTTTTTAAATACAATCCCTGATAATACTTCGACCACATAGGATTTTGCCCTTCAGGTGTGGTGCCCAAAGCTAGAGAGAGAGATTTACTACCACGTCCTGCTTCCCTAAGCCTTCCCAGGGCTCAGTTGGGACTTCCCCTAGGCCACCAAGCAGGTCCTCGGACGGCTTCTTGAACTCTGCATTGGATGAAGACTGTCGGTGGTTCCCACAAACCACAGCCAAGTCCCTTTTCTTTTACGTATCTGCCCTCTAGTGAATAGGAAACTTGAGAGCTCAGTTTCTCAATCTCCTTTAATTGTAAGGGGTGACCACGTGGAGCCTCTTTTACTAAGTAATATGGAAGTAGAGCCCACTAATGACATTTCGGGGAGCGAGCCTCGATGGACTCAAACACGAAAGTGAGCGTGGAACTGCAGCAGTCACATTTTCAGCCATAAAATCAGTCCTGCTGGTTGCCCATTTCACATTTCTTGTCATGTGAGGAAGGTAAATTCTTCCTAAGTACACATAATTGTGCATTCTGTTACTACAGACACAGTAATTCTTACTAATACAAGAGATGGCAAGAATTTATTGAAGATCAAGGGTGTTCTTTCACTGACAATTCCGCACAATTAAAAGGCTACATTGTTTATAACTTTGTTATAAATTGAGGAAGGATGCATCTGATATTCTGAATAACATAAGTTAAAAAAGAGATGAAAGTAATTTTAAAACAGTATTATGTGTAAGGTGTACTATGAGTTACATTACTAAATGCTGCGATTTGTAGATGTCATTAATATTACCTAATTAATATTACAGAGATTTATAGGTGTCTCAAAAATGGGATCAGTTATTGACATCTATTAAAATCACCCTAAAATCCCAGTATAAATGGTCCTCATTCAGGGTTAGCCTTTCACACTGGAGCATGACCACAATGGCTAAAGCTGTCTTGAAAAACATTTGAATTCTATAACCTGACTCCTAGCACACAGTCAAAGCTCAGGATGGCAGTTGCTCATAGTACAACTATTCACTAGATTTACTTTAAAAACCTGTGAGTATTGCTTAGCACACTTGGATGTTTTCTGTACTTTAAATGTGAACATTTACTTCTAATATATTTTATTATAAAGGTCCTCATGTTAATACTACTTGCTTGTCCTGGAGTTAGTTTTCCGTTTCATATGTGAATTTCTTTCTTTCTTTTTTTTTTAAAGATTTATTTATTTATGCATACAGAACTGAGGTGCAGGCCAGAGATGCAGGAGCAGTGAGAGGCTTCACCAGAGACAGAGTGGGGAGCAGAATAGGCAGATCAACAAAGTAAACTGTTGAGGGAGCAGCAGGCAGGTCAGAAGAGGTCTGCTGCGCCATGTGGATCTCCTCCGGGACTGGGGATTGAACTCAAGCTGAAGCAGCTGTGGCTAGCTTGCAGTGCTGTGCTTTAACCCACTGTACCACCAGGGAGGGCCATCTGGGAATTTCTTAAAATCCTTAAATTTATTTTCTACTAGGCCTAAAATGCTACATTGGACACTAAAGAGAAGGCCATGAGGGAATGGACAGAGATCTGAGGTGGACTGGGCAGTTAAGTATCAAGCAACATACACAGAGATATACCTCACAGGTCTCCTCTCAATATGAGACCCACTGGGTAACTCATTCAACTAACATGTATATTAGGTACCCAGGATGGCTAGATAGAATAGGAGAGAACTGACAAACTTGAACAATATGAAGATCCTAGCCTTAATAAACTCACAGTCTGAATGGGATTTTCCAAGTTGCTAAAGAGCTCATGGAGTTCTGTCTTTCATATCCAAAGGAAAGGTTTATTATAAAAAGAAAGGATAAGAAAGGACACTTGCATGGATACCACTGGGCAGAAAAAGCTGCCCCTGAGAGGGACACGTCTTGTGAAAAGACACCTGAAGGGGTCATTTTGAGACAAGAGCTTCCTGAGTTCTCCATTCTGTTCATTTCTACCTAGCACTCATGCTGGCATTGAATCATTCACTGCCAGACTATTTAACTCTCTTGAAGAGAGATGTGTGTGTGGGTTTAAGGAAGTGGTATATCATAAATGTTTTTTGTGTTTTTTTTTTAAGATTTATTTATTCATACAGAACTGGGGTACAGGCCAGAGGTGCAAGGATGGTGAAAGGATTCACCAGAGATAGAGCGGGGAGCAGAATAGGCAGATCGAGGAAGTACACTGCTGAGGGGAGCAGCAGGTGAGACAGGAGAGGTCTCCTGACCGTGCCTTATAGATCATCTCTGGGGCGGGGGCTTGAACTCACACTGAGGCAGCTGCAGCTAGTTTGCAGTGCTGCGTCCTAACCCGTTGTGCCACCAGGGAGTGTGCCATAAATGTTTTAAAATATAAACATCTTCTGAGGCTACAAGGTGGTATCTTAGAGTTCTCAAATCCCCACATGGTGGGGCACTACATTCATGTGGAGAAGCATCTCAAACAGTCAACTGAACTCACCAGGAGTGCAGCAGAGACCTTGACAAGAGCGTGCAAACACATTTCAACATTCCAGAGTTAAGAGGCCCACTACTTGCATGGAAACATCTATTAAGCTTTAGAACACAATAGATATTTAAACATCACAAATTAATTTCCAATTAAGTTGTATTACTTACAAGTCATCACCTTGTTCTTTCTCAGTTCTCAAACTTCCATAGACTTCCTTTTTGCCACTGCTCACTAGTACAACTGACACAACTAAGGCTGGAAAACCTGTTAGAAAAAGACAATATATATTCTCAGGATCACTGGGAACTCTTTATAATACTGATAATAGCAAGGAAATCAATACATAAAGCTCTCCATATTACAGAATCAGATTTCTTAGAACTGGCAATTTGATTAAAAACAAGAAAATCCCTTCTCTGAGAAGGAACACTCAGCCTTCTGGCAATAATCAAAATACATTCTTTAATGATAGATAGTTTGATATTCTGTTTGATTGCTGGAACCCACTAGAGAACCTAGAACCTAGAACCTGACTTCGATTAAGACCAGAAAACATGGTCTCATTAATGACGTCTGCTAAACTGTCAAGAGTTCAGGTGGTAAGTTATTGCAGCTTAGTTTGTCCTGTTCTGTATAAGGAAAATCTAGAAAAAGTGGAAGAAAACAACAGGGCTTAAACTCTTCATAGGTTCCTTTCTTCCTATAAAAATAATCAATCAATAATTATGTCCATGTGTATGTCAGTGGGGAAAACTAATCCTAACCATCCAAACTTCCTGAAAGATGTTTTTATTTGCAGAGATGCAGGAGCAGTGAGAGGCTTCACCAGAGACAGAGT